ATTCTGCCGCAACTATCAATTGTTATAAATATTTTCTCGCCCATTCTTCACACTTTGCTTACAGGAAATTCCTTTAGTGAATATCTCGCTGGCATTACATTATCATTATCTTTATGATCAGTATCATTATTATTATTGATTATTATTATTATTATTACAATTTTTGCACTCTCCATTCAATGTACGCCCAGCTAATGAACACCTTGCGCGCGTATTCTATAATCAAATAGTGGGCGTGTCACGATCGCGCGAATATTAAATCCAAAGACAACAACAACAACAAAAAAATGCAAAGAATACCAAGAGATAATAATCTGGCGTGGATCAAGCGATCAAATCAAATCAATTTTCTTTCTTTGCATTGCAAATTTGTGTTGTTGCTGCTGTTGTTGTTGTTGTTGTAGTGTTATCAACATCGGCGAATCGGATAGGTTCGGTCCGGTTCTGTCGAACGATCGATGAAGTCGCACGCTGCACAAATCAACATAATTGCCAACTGAGTGGCTCGCCCGCCCGTCCCGGCTCGTCCCGGCTCGTCTTCTCGCCTTCACGTTGCACGTTGAAACATGCAACCTGCAACTGGAGCGGAGCGCCAGTCACGTTGCGACTTCTTTAGCTGCGGCGCGTGCGTCGCAAATCAAGTGCAAAAATAGATCAATCAAGCGAGCAATCAATCGAATCGAATCGCTTCAATCGCCATGGCAAATGAAATGATTTTTCTTTTTTTTTTTGCGGCCTCTTCTCTTATTGCCGTTTCGTACGTGCCGCGACGTGCCGTCTCGCGTCGCGTTTGTCGTGTGTGAAATATATATTATAAAAAAAAAACTAAATAAATAAATTAATTACAGCAACTAACTTTAACTTTGCGGGGGTTCGTAATTGGCAGAATCAACAAAAAACAAATCTGAATGCTGATGCGATTGAATTTTAATTTATGTTTTTTGTTTTTCCTGTTCGGTTTTTGCCATTTCCGCAGAATTGCATACGGAGAAAAGATGATTGGCTGTGCGCGGCGTGTGCTGTGTCTTCTGTTGCCCGTTTATTTTTTTTTTTGCTTTCTGCATAAACAAATTTTAATATACACTCACACACATACACACACACACTGGTACACCGATACGTAACTCTAGACGAGACAATTTCGTTGTGGAAAACCGAACGATTGTCGTCATGTAACCAAACGCGCGCGTCGTCTCATTGCAACTGATCGCGATTTGTCCCAATCAGAGAATGTTGACCAAAAAGCCGAAAGCCGTTCGCTTCGAACATGTTGCACGCGTGTTGCTAGACGACGAGCACATGTTGCCAAGCGGCTGGCCACATGCTGCCAGCGACAAGTGCGTTAGCAACATAGCACAGATCGAAGTTGGCTTTTGAGATTTTTTTATCTGATGAAAAAATATAAATATTTTATATAAATAAATATAATTAAAATATTTATATTATATTATTTATATTATTATATTTTGAATAAATATAAATATAAATGTAAAACACATAAATAAATTTAAATATAGTTAAATATATATAAGTAAAATATATATATTTTTATTTTTAATAAATATAAATATAAATGTTAAACATATAACTAAATTAAACTATAGTTAAATCTTCGTAAAGTTTCAGAGAAAACTGAATAGTTTTAAATAGTTTCTTAACATATAAAAATATATAATTGATTCGTTTGCCTTTATCTATGTTAAGCCTCCGTTGTTCCGATTGTAGAGTATCTCTAATTAGATTTTATCTGCCAAACGTTCAATATTTATATAAAATATTTATATATGTATATTCGCGTTGAAGTGTTAATTCTAAGACTTCTGCTTCTGTGCAGAAACCGAGTGAATATTGTTTAAACACCTACATTTCTATTTTCATTTGATAATCTGGAATATGAAGCTTACATATAACTTAATTAAACTTTAAATAATATGCTGTTCATTCTGTAGATTACGTTTTAAGACTCTTCTTTAATTGAATTTTCTTTCATCACAGATAAGTTTGAAAATGCTTGAGAATTTCCTCTGCATCGTCCTTATACTAATTCCATAAATCTTCAGTGTTATCACACATTTATGTCCAATCTTTTGTTGTCAGATCTCTGCTGAGAGTTAAAGTCCTACTAGTAGCTCCCGAATAAGCCAACTAATCAACATAAAGCTAGAGGCTTTATGCTTGAGCTTAACTGTGCGAATGTGCACTTGAATCCAGTTATATATATGTATGTATATATATATATATATATATATATATATATATATGTGGCCCACTGATGTATTATCCATTGCGGCTGGCACTTAAATATTTTTCTTTTTATCACGCATCTGCTGTGATGCAATGGAAAAAATAAAAATAGTCAAGAAACTCGGCACAAGGAAAACATCTTACAAATTTTCCATAAGCAGCAGCAGCGACTACAAATAGCTTTGAGTGCTTCATATGGGCACCGCACCTTGCTACCAGCAGAAGAAGCAGCAGCAGCAGCAGCAGCAGCAGCAGCAGCAGGCCAATCCGCGCTAGACATGGCCAACAGCCCAGACAGACGGGCAGTGAGAGCCGTCTGGGACTAGGTCTGTTGCCACACAGCTTGGCGACAAGCATTTGGCTCTGGCTCTGGCTCTGCTTCTGCTCCTCGTTCTCTGTCTCTGTCTTTGGCTTTGGCATTCCATGTCACAAACGCAGTTATTTATGCGCTTCAGACCAAACCGACTGCCGGCAGTTCTATGACATTGTCACATGAACATGTCGCGTTAACCTTTCGCGCCAAAAACAACAACAACAACAGCAACACGAAACATATACAACATCAGCAGGAGCTTTTATAAATAAATGCTTCGAGAAAAACAAATCCTAAACTAACAAAAAAATAATGAAAATTATAAAAAGAAATAGAAAAACTTATTATTCCGCACTCTATGGAAAAACTGTCAATATTTTAATTGCCAAGCCTGAAAGTGCAGCCGGTTAGCGGCAGCAGCAGCAGCAGCAGCAGCTCTCCACCTGCATCACCTCCTTTAAGCTAGTTGTTGTTGTTGTTGTTGTGATTGCTGTTGCCATCAATGTCCACTGCGTGTGTCCGCATTCTGCGGGAAAATAATTTTTATATACCCTGTTCTACATATGAGAGGGTATGACGATTTATGAGATATATAAAAATAATGGCTTATCCATGGATTATCGATTATGAATATTATTACTATCCAAATGAGTATAGAAATAAGAACAACGTATATCACACATATAATTATCTATAAGATAGATAATTTGAGCTATATTTATTTGAGTCGGTATTTATCACCAAATCGTTATCAAATTAATATAAAATTTTAATATTAATATTATATGCATATTAAATATTATTAATTTTAATATTATATTACATATTTTTATTACAAGATTAATAATTACTTTATATATATTTTATACTTTATTAAACAATAATTCCATATATTTAGCCATGGAAATATTTTATTTTATATATTTTTATAGACCTCTCTCTCTCTGTCTCAAAGTCAAGAATAAGTGTTAAAACAGTTTACATTATTCTAAGTAAGTAATTTGCATATGTAAGTCTAGTAGAATATCCTTCACTCACTCTTTCTAGGGTATCTGCTAGGCTTAGCACTCACACTCAGAATGCACTTGTTTCTTCTTATTTTCTGCGACTTTTTCCAATAAAGTAAATGCTGCACGATGCGTGTGTCGCATTTTGATGCAAGTTTTTCGATTGGTTTTTCGTTGGCCTCAACTAGTTTGTTTTTGTTTAGCTTTACATTTCTTTATTTTGTTGTTGTTGCTGATTTTCTTTTTTTCGGCAGCAACTAAGTGAACGATAAAAATGTCAAAAACAACAAAATGCTCTCGAAATTATGGGCCATAATCGACGGGCAGCGCATAACAATAATCGGGCAGCAAAGTTTTCTAATTCCATTGAAATTGCGTCGAGACAACAGAAAACTTAATTAGGGGGGAATGGGGGCCCCCAATAAAAATTACGTATGCAAAATGAGACGCAGACACGGAGGGGAGCTGTCTGTAGATCAGACCCCACGCACCACGCACCACGCACCAACGTAACTGCATTTGCTCTGACTGCGTCGCGGACTCAATCAAGATTTGAAAAACTAAATTGGGATCGGGGTCTGGGTCTGCTGTGCAGTCTATAAGCATAAGACAACGAGCAACTTTTGATTCAACTTTTGATTCAATTCAAACAATTAAAAACACGTGCAAAGTCTATAAATATGAGGGACGAGAGGGCTGCATAATAGAGGCCTGGCTAAGAGCATTATGAAGTCATATTCTTAGGCAAAATAAGGTCAAGAGTTGATTAATCAGGCATGATGGAGCGTTAACTGTAAGAGTTTTGTCTAAACAAAAAGGCAAACACCTTGAGTTGAACAGAAAATTAGTATTATATAATATAGAATTATATAGATAAATGCTTAACAGGGTTTTAAATAGGGTTTTTGGGGCCGACATTATATGAATAAATGTATTCAAATATCGTAGATAAAGTAATTTTAGTATTGAATGTGATGTAAATATGTCAATATTTAAGTTTATCTATAAATATGCCATATAAGTATATAAACATATCAAAGCTAATAATAAAATTAACATTTCACATATATTTTATAATGATTAGAGCAATTTCTATTTGTTTGTAAAGCAATTTGAGCAATTAGATTTTACTTTGATTGCTAAACACATTTTGAATAATGATATTAACAATGTCATGAACATGTAATTTACATATATCTACCTATAAATTGTATTATATCTAGGAATCTCCATATTGTCTTACTTATAATCAAAATTCAAAGACTTGTCAGTCTGCTTGTTCTGTTTATAAGTTAGAGACATTTTTCGATTTATGACAATTTTTCATTTTTTATGTTTCTCTCTCCCCATCTCTATTGATCTCTTTCCCTTTCTCTCTCGAGCTCCATATTTTTCTATATTTGTCTATCATGCAAAAAAGAAATACATAAAAGTAACCTCACCTGCCACTAACTGCAACGTTCGCTGTCAAAGTCAAGCCCACGAAATACTCACACACACACGCACACACAATC